ACTCCGTACATACATCCACGCTGCAGTTTCATTCTCAATCGAGCGTGAAGACTTTGCACAACTGATTTTCCATATGCATCTATTATTCGCCGCTTGAATTTGCTACACACTGACAGTACGTAACCTGGTAGTTCGAAAACAAACAAGTAGCGTCAGTCGATTTGCCACGGTGGAAAGCTATATTCACTGCTAGCCACTTGAGAAGCTCCTCCGAACCATAACCGCTGATTAAGGTACTAGGTAGGTAGGTAACATTTCCATTTTCACATTTTTCCAATTATATCTTTCCCCCCTTGCCACCAATAGTTCATACTCGGCGGCTATCTCACATTGACGGCTAATCGGCCCTACAAAGTAGTACTAGAGGACGGGGTCCTCCGTCCAACTATCAAATCAAGTGTGCTATTCTTATGGTTGACCCCGATGAACCCGCCTCGCGAGGGTGGATGCAAACGGGTACTACTTTCACAGAGAGGGTAGATCAAACTTTATATGGAGTGGAAGAAATAAGACGCATGACATGGTGGCTTTATCGGAGGTGGCAATACGATCTCTTGGGTTACTCAAACTGGGCGGATGTTCATTCAAGGTTAATGGGATGCATCTCCAATAGCAGAGGTCTTGCAGGAATGCAGAGTATGGGGTTATGCAGTGGATTGTTTTCCATTCCTGAGGACAATAAACAACAATAGGAAGAGAAGCCATGCCATACTTGTTGTCCCAGCCACAAGAAACCATTTCATCCCCATATGAAGTAGTAGTAGTTGAGTATGCCGGGTGGTTCCGCTCGTTAATTTGGATTATGGACAGGACAGGTCCTGGGAGGACAAGGTAAATCCCTAGTTGACCTGGCCCTTGGGGATTTGGGTGCCTTGAGTCATGGATCCCAATATTAAAGTAGATTTGATTTATCCACCTGACGATGATAGACCCCCGATGCCTTCTTTTGCTTTCTTCTGCTTGTCTGATCGATGAGATCCCGTCAGCAGCGAAATTGCGGTACTGTCAATTCACACAAGACCCGTATGAACAAACACATGGGAAGAATTGAAAGTTACCTTACACGGAATACCTGTCAGCCACTTTACCTGCATGATAAACTGCGTAACGCAACTCAGCAAACCATGCGTTGACACCACATAAGCAAGTGACCCGTTTTTTTCCCAGATAATAATGTAAGCATTAAACCACTAATATTGAAGTGTTCGAGGCAAGCGAACCCCCCACCTACACATTAGACCCAACTTTGAGCCTTGGTAGACTTGGGTGATTTCTTGCTTTTCTTTCGGTGCCTTCTTTGCTTCCTTGAAGGACTTCCGACAATATCTTGTCTCTGATTGGCAAGCTAAGGTTATCTTTGGGCCTTCCCGGATATCGTAAGAGATAATCAGGCTAGATGATCGACAAGGACAATGTGGTCTGCCTTCTTCCCAGCCTTTTTTCTCACTACACTGCGGGAAGGCTGGGAGGGCAAAGCGGTGGGTACACGCTAAGTGCTTAGCAGCCGACTACTGTATCTGCTTCATCTTAGACATTTTTCTTTCGCTTGTCGCCGGGAAAGCTGTGCTCCGGGCGGTGTTAAGAGGGGAAGGGTTCTAGAAGGATAGACTGGTCTCTTGTGTGGGAATGATTGCTGAACGTGAAGTTTGTGCATCCACCGAGTTATCTAGTATCTACGGGTGTACACGCAACATGTCAATACTTGAACAATAGAGTCGGCTCCCAAATTAGATTCGGGCGAACATCACCCCAGAAAGGCAAATTTTTCTTCTTAAGTCTTTTTCCGCCATAATGCAGGTCAAAAGCATGCACTTCTGAAAATTGTTTCCGAAATCTGTCGGTGACATGAATATACACTGCACCGAGATCGAAGGGCAACCAAGCAACCCTCGGAGCCATGGTTCCGGCTAACGCTGCACCACCGGTTGAAGTTCTCACAATATGTGTGTCTCATTTATTTTGCTAAGGTGTTCCCTGGTTCTCTTCTCATGTGGATATATTGTCTACGTTTATAGATCATGAATTGACTTTTTGGTATTTCTATAACAAATTGAACCTCCGCTATAGACATTACTTTTGATACAGATTGAAAATAGTTTCCGGACATGCTATTCCGGTGAACCATAGACCAGCTTCCCTATATATAATTAAATCTCTGCCCTTGCAGGTAGGGATCAGGAACACGGTCTTTCTCCGAACCCCTCGAGTGTACTTCTATTCTAAGTAAACGCAACGCCAAAGTACAATGGAAGAATGATTGAATGTGGTCAATAAACCTGTGAAAACCCCAATTGACAAATATCAAAGCACCACCATGCAAACGAGTGAGCCTGACATCTCCATAAGACCATAGCGTCTCTCAGGCACAGCCATGCGATTGGCATTCAACGGATATTACTTGCTTGTGCTGCATATTTTAATTGACTTTCTAAGCCATGCAATGATGGAGGTCGGTGAACCGCCAGGATCCCAGCCGTTCAACCTCAGTGCAGCCAACAAATGCAACGATTGATCCATCCATCTTACTCTGTAATAATCAACTACTGTGCTTACTGTGGAGTAGTTAACTTACTGTGTAGGATCAGGACACCTTTCCAATACAGGTTTCATAAAATGGAGATAAAAAACCGAAACCAATCCCTAAACAGCAATTCAGTGGGACTGGGACATGCGCGACCGGGGAACCGTCCAATCGGACCCGTCCGCCCGACAAAAGGGCCAACGGGTGGCGATTTCCTTAACGCCGGACAACACTCAACTGGCTGAAAGGGCCCGGACTGGTCCAAAAGAAACGACGACGTGGAACTCTTGTCTGGGAAGAGAGAAAAAGGGGGTGTGCGGTTTCAGGTTCCATTTGGCCCGACCTAGAACACACCCCGGCACCACCAGGGCACCATTATTATCATCCTCCATTAATCGTGCCAATCAGCATATTGATTTGGATTCCCCTTTCGTTCTTACAAACTAAACACATCTGGTTTTGTAACTTGGTATCTTTTGTTTCGATTTAACTTACACCGCTTGGTTTCTGTTAGCCGATGGGGTAACTAACTAACTATCAAGTACGTAGTTCTAGGGTTGGGTTATTATTATCTTCTGGCTCGTTAATTATTAATGATCGCTAATGGACTCCTTATCCGCCTCGCTACTCCGTACTAAGATAGATACTTACTAGATACTATCTATATCAATCATTCAATAATTTTGGCTGAACAGGGGGAGTCTCGACTGTCGGGAACCGAGTAGATACTCGGTATCTCCTGAATAATCATGAATTGACTCTGCCAACGGAAAAAGAAGCGATCATCATTATGCACTGCACGGTCGGTCATCTGCATAACTAATAACTGTGCTAATGTAGAGAGTGTGTGGGAGAGACTGGGAGGAGGTTGGCCATCGCCATCCTATCTGTCCCGTGCTGTCCTGCCACCGACGGTCTCAGTAGGTACAGATGTTAGCAGCCTAGCATCGCCACACCGATATACCACGCTAACCATGTACATCTGCAACTCGATTTCTTGAAACTCGAGATCGGCATGTGTCGAAGCAACATCGGGATCCAGAAGCACGGCAAGTCAAAAAGTTTGTTTGGCTGGGAGTGGGGTGATTAGCAACCTTGCTTGCGCACAGTTGTTCTGTCTGTCTGTCTGATCTGCATGGGTGAAGATGTTTCTCTCCGCATTCGGTTGTTCCAAGTTATCAAGATGCAGTGTTGTGTAGCTACGCAACTCCCTCTGCAGTTATGGAGTATCTGTGGCTCTTCTGGGTGGTATGATATGCATCTGCGTTTGGTTGGTTCGGTTGCGTTGCACGGTGGTGGCAACGGTATCCCCAAAGCTTGTTCTCATGTACACTGTAGGCAGTGAACGGGTTCTGCGTTGGACTGTGCGATGCTGCTGTGGGCGACTTTCTGCTTGGTGTCTAAGACCTGATGGTTGTAGTGTGACGTGAGTTCTTGTGCATGTGGGTGGGTTGTCTCAGTCCGTCTGCTTTGGTTTGTTCGATATCTCTCGTGTGCCATTTGATGTGGTTGTGCTTGGGCTGGCTGGGTTATACCGGTGGGTGTGATGGCTTTGAGTCGCCACACGTTAGTCGTATCGGGTATATGCTTGGGAGCTTGATATGCCCTTTGGTTGATTGTGTAGTTCTCCGACCATCAGTGCTGTGGCTGGTGAGAGTACTACATGCTCTGAATCCCGATGATATATAGTGGTACTATGCCCGTGGGTATATGGTACATGCAAGCCAACCACCCCAGACTTTGCTGTGAAGTTCTTCGGTGATTGACACTGCCTTCAGCTATGTTCTGTCGGCTGAAACGGGAGCTACTGGTAGTATATACTCATAAGCTGTTATTCTCTGCCATGCCCATCGGTCCTGCCATGGTCGTTTGTTCAACCCTATAGACTCGGGACGTCCGATCTGTATCCCTGCTCCCCGCTTCTGAATCCCTAATTCACCGCATCTATGATGTCCATAGTGATATCATTGTTTGTCCTGGTGACCAATGTTTCACATGTCTAGTAGGTTCATGCCTGTTGCTCTTGCCGTAAGACGGGGTTGTTATCCACGGCCGGAAAACCGTGACTGATCAGTATTGTATCCGTATGCCAGTCACCCCTAGGCTTGTTGCCACTAATATCCCTTTTATGACACCCCCGGACACTACTACTATGATATAGCTACCTGCTTCGGTAGCGGGTGTGTGCCGGTCTGTCGTATGTATGATGGCTCATATAAAAGGATTATGTATATATTCTGAGGGCTACACTTACTCTTCCCATATCAACAAACAACACGTAGCAACGTGCTAGGATTCGCCCATAGCATGAATAGGACTGTTAATTAGCAGGGAGATAGACACGCCAATCAGTCAGCCATATGAACCATGGACAACCGGTCTACATAAGCCGCAGACAGACCTACGGCATTGCTGTTCATGGCCTACAAGACATGTCCAGGCTGATAAATCAAGAAGTTGAGGCCTAAACATATAACAAGCCCGGGTGGTCTAGTGGTATGATTCTCGCTTAGGGATACAAACCCAAGCATATCTGCGAGAGGTCCCGCGTTCGATCCGCGGCTCGGGCCTTGTCTTCATATTTTTGATGATATTTTTTCTTTCTCATCCCTCATGTCGGCATCATTTTGTATTGATAGGAACTTGAATCTGCGTTCTGAGACGAATAAACTTCCCGACTCTCGATGATAACATCGGGTTACGTACACCATGGAACTTTAAAGCCAAAGGCTGCCACCAGACCATCCCGTGGTAGGCGAACCAGTACCGAGGTTGCCGTGCCAACCACGTCTCCTCGCCCATCCATCAACATTATCTAGACCACCTGCATAGATATATCCAGCACCAGCTCACACGCAGGTACACCACACCTACATCTGCAAGTCCGCAGACACCACATACACCGAGCACCGGCATTACAGCAAGTGCATTCTGACATCTCACTTCCTGTCCTGCAGGAGTGGGAGGAGGAAGAGGAGCTCTTGATCTGTCCCACCATCACCAGCAGGCGCACCGCACGAGAAGACAAGACCACTATGGCTCGACTCAACCCATCCAGTCCCACGAAGCCAGCAAAGCTCCAAGAGCGCCGAACACCTCCACGGCAGAGGACTCTCAATCGTACAGCGACTATCAAGCGCGACACCAGAGATAACAAATACCCGGCAACAGCAAAGACCAAGACAGTAGAACATTGGGCCGCCGCCGAGACATGGACAAAGAGCCGATACTCCGCGACAACGCCAGCGATCGAAGAGTCATCACAGAGGAAGAATAATAACAGACTACAAAGATCGGGAACTGTCTCCAGTGGGGTATTCGATATCTTCTCGGACAATGGAGATGAGCAGAGTGAAACGGAGGAGAGCAGTTTGTCGTCTACTCGGTCTTTGATTTCGAATGAGGGACGCACTGCGGATCCTTTGAAGCTCTCGCAGGTCAATTCTTTGTTGCTTCCATTGTCGCAGCAGTCGCGGAATAATAGACCGCCGCGTAAGTCGGTCGGGTATAACTATGACAAGGAAAATGATCCGATTGATGATGAGGCAGAAGAGGCTGATGAGAATTCCGGGCTCTCGAGGAACTCGTCTACTGCTTCGAACAGGGCGCCTACACGTAATACGAACAGAGGTTTACAGCCGCGGGGCAGGTCCAGGACGAGGTATATGGGATACCGTCGAGAGGAGACGGAGTCGGAGGGCGAAGAAAGCGAAGATGATAATGGCTTTGACTCACTGGACGATTTCATTGTCAGCGACAATGAAGATATCAGCTATCATGAGACGTCCGACGATGAAAGCCTCGAAGAAGAACAAGAAGAGAAACAGCCAACCCCTTCGCCGCCTAGGACTAGAAAGAGACTGCTTAGAGGGAGACGACCCCGTCCAGAAATAGAGCCAGAGACAACACCTCAGGATTCTCCGCGTGAAAGCCTTCACTTGGAGCCTTCGCTGCCTGCTACGATAACAATGGAGGTTCCCAAGCTCGAGGCAAAACCCAAGAGGCTGTTTCAAAGCGAGCTCGAAATATCCGAGAAGCTGAACAAGCTGAAGCTGGACAATAAAGACATAGAGCCTAAACAGGAAGAGAAAAACACTTATGAGTGAGTTTAGATGGAGACCCCCAGCCACCCATATATGTATTAACACCAAGCAGCAGTATCGAGGAAATAGACGCCCCCACCAAGAAGCTCCCATCAAGGAGCAGTGTTAAACTAGAGACGCCCCCATCTAGTCCAACAAAGGGACGCAGTCTACGATCTCCAACCAAGCAGAAGGCCCACATCCCACCAACACCACACCGAGAGAGCGTCGACGCATTCTGGAGCCAGGAAAACACCAACAACTGGATCGACCAGCACTCTCCGTGCAAGATCGACGACCTACTGCGCGAATTCGACGACTCGGACTCGGATGATGAATTCAGTGACAGGGATACTTTGCCCAAGACCGTAACACCGAAGACCAAAACCAAGTCCTCAGCAAAAACACCCAGCAAGACAGCTATGAAGAAGGCCGAAGCGGAGCAGAGAAAGCTCGAGCGGGAGCGTGCAAAGGCATTCATAGAGAACAGACAAGCCATGGCCGAGAAATTCTTCAGAGTCCTCGACGATACCGTGACTGACGGCCGACTCTCAAGAATGACCGCCTCGACAGGAGGCGTGATCATCGAATGGAAAAAGCGACTCCAAACGACCGCCGGTCGAGCATCCTGGAAATGTGTTACCCCATCACCGAAGAAGGGAGGAGACCCGGCCATGCCACCTCAGCATTATGCCACCATCGAGCTTGCAGCGAAAGTCGTCGACTGCGAAGAGCGGATTATCAAGACGGTCGCGCACGAGTTCTGTCATTTGGCGAACTACATGATCTCAGGCGTGCATGATAACCCCCACGGCACTAGCTTCAAGGCATGGGCCAGCAAGTGCAAGGAAGCAATGAAGAGCCATCCTGTCTACGGTGGGAAAGTCGAGATTTCGATCAAACATGACTACGCCATCGACTATAAGTACGTCTGGCGCTGCGTGCACTGTAACTTGGACTACGGGCGTCACTCGAAAAGCATCGATCCCAAGAGACATCGGTGCCGGTGCCAGGGCATCTTGCAACAGATTCAACCTAAGGTGAGGAATGTGTCGCCGTTGAAGAAGTCGGTGAACGCGCCAGCCCCAAGCGTCAGGGGACTGTTGAATGAGGTGGGCCGCGTGTTGAATGAGACGCAGAGGCAGACTTAGTTAAAGATACTTGTGAAGATGGACTGGGGGATGATGATCTAGTAGGTATAATATTTGATGTATGTCATGACTGACGGTTGAATGTCTTGTTATTAGCGATCATGTACATACATACAGCTTGTTGTTTCGTTCTTCTGTTTTTTTTCTAGGTGTACAAACAGACAATCAATATACATACACCGAACACTTATATGTTAGTTTAGTGGGTAATCCTTCGATATTATCTAGAATTATCTATCTAAGTACCTACCTAGCACGCACACATAATGGTATCATTCCTCCCACCTCCCACCATCCACACACCCAAGAAACACCAAAAGAAAGGAAGAGATAATGAATCATCCAAACAAATCCCACTCCACAACCACCAACCCATCAACTAACCCCTCCACCACCCCCCCAACAACCCCCTCCTCCCCCCTCAGCCCATCCCCATCCCCATCCCCATCCCCATCCCCCCTCCCCTCAAACTCCTTAACCGGAACATTCCCCCAAACGACCAAATCACTCCCCTGCTCCTCCAACCTAACCACCAAAAACGAGCATCTCACCACATCCTTACCCCCTTCCTCCCCCAACTCCACCCTCCCCGTATACACCCTCCCAGCCCCAGTTCCCTCCCGACGGCCCACACTCGTAATCGGCGTGCGGAACCGAATGGTATCTTTACTGACGGTGTCGTTGTCTTGGATGTCCAGGATGTGGTAGAGAATAGCGGCTTTGTCGAGGGTTTCTCTATCATCTTGGTTCTGAGTAGTGCTGGTGGCGGAAGCGAATAATTCGCTGTTCTTGGATAATGTTTCTTGGCTTGTGCTGTCCGGGACGTATTCGTTTATTTCGTAGATTAGGGTTGAGAGGGTTGTGGGGGAGAGGTAGAGTTCTTGGTGGTCGGGGATTTGGCGGAGGTTACTTTATTATTTTATTTCGTTAGTATTGGGGTTAAATGGTTGGGAGGAGGAGAGGGGGAAGGGGAAGGGGGTAATGTATGTATGTATGTATGTACCTAGCATCTAACCACCCCTTAGGGATGAGGCCTTTAATGGCGCCGCCGTAGAGGGGTTGCGGGGTGTATGTTGGTGGTGGTGAGGTCATGGTGGGATGATGTTGTGTTGTGTAGAGTGGATGTGTGGTGTGGGAATATGCGATTGCTTTTCTGGTTGAGGTAGATGAATATGTATGAGAGTATGGAAGGGAGAAAAGAGGTATGCTGTCTGGGTGTAAATAGTTGTTGTATGATGGAGGAGAGGAAAAGCTCAGCTGCGCGGAGCGGAACTTTGAGTGATGGTGGGGGCGGGGTGTTCGGATGGCCGGCCGAGGAACAATTCTATAGCTACTAGTTGAAAACTGACAATCTACTACGACTTTGAAGCATTGATGATCAGAGGGGGATACTGCCTGATTTACACAAAAGTATGAATTCCATATTGTATGACACGTGCTTTTCATTGTTTCAATCTTGTAGTACTACTAATTTACTATGTCCGACAATTGGGTCTTCTGTATATATATCTGCTACATCCCTACTACTAGTACTAGTATCTAGTATCACGGATTCTGGCAATCCAAACAATTTTCAATTCTACGATGGAGACAACCGAGCAATGATAAATGCTATGAGATAGAAGTATTACCAGGTACTAGTATCATGTAATTGTATAGGATGGAGTCAAGAGATACGGTATACCTCCATTATTAGCTCTAGGCTCAGCAGTAGTCTCGAAATGATTCAATTTGTCGTATCCTAATCTCAAGCTCCTATCACCGATAAATATCTTCATAAAACCACCAGCATCCCAACATCCTGAAAGGAACAACAATCTGACCTGCCAGCAGCAACAACTAATGCAGTAATCAAAGCCTACATATCCAGCAGCTCCTCAATATACTCATCCAACGCAATCATTCGAAATCGGTTCCCCCATTTCGCCCGGAATTCCTTCCGGCGATAAGCATAGCTCGTCACTTGGCTGAAGCTGACAAGCTCTACGGCCCAGCCCCGACTCAGCGCCCGTTCTACCATCTTCATAAATCCACCCGAGAATTCGGCTTCCGCCGCGTCTCCCGTGGCTAGAACGATGGTTGCAGGTTCGTCCGTGTCTAGCAAACTTTCAAGAATCTTCAGATGCAGAATTTCGTCCACACCCTGTTCGACCCAGCGCTCCTCTGATGCTTCGTTCGTTTCTGAACCGCTACCAGGGTCGTGAGCGCCAGCTCGAGGATTCTTGCGAAACCGCATTTGACGAGGAGTCATATGCTTGACTTTGTGGACCCGGTCGAGAATATTGGCTTCGTAACCAAGTTGTTCGCCTTCAGTGATGGCTGCAAATCGATCCGAGC